ATTTCACAGTACAATGAAGTGAGTTTTGGTCTTGTCACTGACATATTGATCCCACAAAGACTGAAAAGATCAGAATTCTCTAGGCTTTTGCTTTTATAAATACATATGTGTAGAAATACAGTGTTTGAATAGAGGACAATATAACACTTGGTTTTATAAAGAAGTAAGAGCTCCAGGAGGTTAATGTTATAAAACAGTGTTATGATATAAAAGTCACTATTAGAAGGTCACATTTCTTTCCTTTTAGAACTACAACTCAGGAAGACAAGTGGCTTCATAATCTGAGTTCATTTAAAGTGCAGGGGACCGCTTCACAGCTAAAAGGAATTTGTACCAGGGAAGAAACGCATACCCCGCCCCCCGCCTGCACTGTCTTGCCTCGTTCTGTCTACGATTTATGCCAGGTAGGTCTATAATGCAGTAGTACCAATGCTCCATCAAACATTTTCTGTTTAACCTGAAAGGGCACTAAGTCCTGTCACTTGTGTATCTATTTCTATGATTTGCCAAATGCAGCAATTGCTCCATTAAATATATAAAGACCACATGGTTATTCACATCTATAGATGAAACATTAAGAAATAAACCCCTATATTGCAAGATGATGATGAAATGGTAGGCAACACTCTAAGTGCCCTCGAATCTTATAAGCTAAATTTCCAACTCAGCAGGCAGAAAAGAAATGAAATGAAGGAATGAATGTATGTTTGCAGGTAGGCAGAATTTCAGTCATTACGACAACAAGATGATTTCCTAATTACTACCTACCACAGAAATACTGCACAATACTCTGCGGTCTCAGGGAGACTGTTACAGTATAGTGTGTGTTGCCGTCTACCTCTATAAAGTTGCTGCGAACATTGCCGTGTGTGCCTTGGTGGGAGGCAAACAAAGGCATAGAGCCCTTCACACTGCCCACGGCAAAGCAGGCAGAACAGCGTGAATGTGCAAAGGATTTCTTCATTGATGTTGTTCTAAAAGCTTTCAAATTAGAAGGAGCTACTCATTTAGCATGATCTTTAAAAATTAGCAGAATGGCTCACATTATCATATCCTAAAGTAATTACTTGCAGTAAGTAAAGATAGATTCATTACTAACTATGCAGCCTTTTCTTGTGAAATCCACAGTAAAATTATTTGAGGTATTTTCTTTTTTAAGCTGACAAGAGATTGCCTTTACTTCATCAATCAGGTTGACTAAAGTAATGATTTTCTTAGAATTAAAATTTGTTGAAAGCTCTAAGTATTTCATCTTTTAGGTTAAGAAGCATGTAGTTAATGTCACCACTAATACATTTGTCAGTCTGCTAATTTTCTTTTTCTATTAGAATAAGTAAACATCAGCCCTTTTAAAAAGCATACTATTTACCATGTGTCAGGAGCAATGTAAGGAGACTTATTTGAAAATCATGAGGTAAGGTATTATGATATGAACGGGAATCACAGGCAGACAATGAGGGAGAAAAATAAAAGAAAGGCACATTTAATAATTCCAAAGTGATGTCGGAATGTCTCGGGTTGAGTGGGGGAGGGGTGCATTTAAAGGGGAACTGGAAAAAAGGAAACCAAATGAAGAACTCAAACCAGAGGTATTAGAAAATATGAAAGAAAAGCTTGTGAGAAATAGCTCAAATAAAAACAAGAACAATAGTCTCTTTTTTTATGATGGCCTATATGGGTACAATGGAAATAAAAGAACATGAGATTTTTGCCTGCATGACATTAGATCAGAGAATCATTTTGTACTTAGTATGTGATGAAATAGGTACTATGACAATACAGGTGACTCTGCTTCCCTCCTTTTAAGGATATAAACCACTTAGCTAAGCTACCATTTGTCAAGCTCTTGTTTAAGGCACTTTGGGTAGTGATGCAAGAGGAGAATAACAGCTAGAAAATGTCAGAGCTGCATTCTATCTCTCATTGATTTTTTTTTCTAAAATTAAAGTTCTTTTTGATCGGTGTGTTGTGCAGCTCCACGGTGTAGGTTGGTTTCCAAACCCTATGTTCCTAGCTGCATCACTATTCCAGTAAAATTTTTAAGGTAAGATAGCATCTATAATGTCATCTTCAGCTTTTCCCATCTCCAGATGACATAGCTACTTTTAAAAATCTACTATTGTGTGGAAGATTGAATATGTACCAGAAGGTTGATACCCTTTGGGTTGATACCCAGAGAGGTACTAGTGGGAGTTAGTGGTGCCTAGTGGTTCACTAAGGTGGCCCTCAGTGTGGAGTGCTGAGCTCAGTCTTATCTTCCCGTCTCTCTTTGGCTTTCTGATGAGGAGGAGAGCAGTTTGCTGGGTCATGCATTCCCTGATGTGCTGCCTTCTGCAGACCTGAAGCAACAGAGCCAACTAATCATGGGCCAGATTGTCCAAAATCTATGAGCAAAACCAAGCTTTCCTTTCTCTAAATTGATTGTCAAAGTTATGTGCTATAGTGATAGAAAGCTGAGGACACAGTTTCCAAGTAGAAAGAAGAGGATAGAGTGAAATTAGCACTTTAGCTTTCTGGTGTTATAAAATTGGTAGACTTTACTATAGAAGAATAATGTTTCAGGTTTTCTCCTTACAGTAAGAGTCAAAAAGGCTTGGGAGGATGTGGTATTTTGGATATTTTTCATTTTGGAATTATTAATTTAAAAAATTTTGCTTTTATTGTTAAATAAATTGGAATAAATTTTGAGGAACATAGGCATTTCTAAAATGTAAGAACCCATGTTTCCTGAAGCCGAATAGAGGAGGAAGAGAGAGATGCATTGCTTACCAACTTTGGAGACATAAGTAAGGTATTTTAATTCTCTGTGCCTGTTTTCTTGTTAACAGTTCGCTAAAAAGGTTAGTGGAATCAACCTGCTGTGTAGCCTACATTACCACCCAGTGTTCCTCATGTTCTTCTCTTGATCAGCCTCGCAGTGGGGAACAGGTGCAGCCAGAAATCACCTGACAGCATATTCTTGGTTTAGGAATTCATTGAGTGAATGCGTTTGTTTCAAATTGACTGAGTTATCAAAGGTCTTTTGCAGCTACATTTTTTGTTATATAGGTCTTGTTTTATCTTGGTCTTAACCATCCAGCAGAAAGGTATAAAAATGAGGTATAAAAAGTAAAATCATATTAATATGCTGAGTTGTAAAAAACTCAAGTCAACAATCTCTGACATTGCCAGTCATGTGGACAACGCACTACTATTATAGGCTACTCAACTATCCTGGATTACTTTGCTGAATTCATGCACCTACAGTATATGAATGGCAATGGAATACCCATCTGTGACAAAAGCAAACAAAAAAGAGGATATAAATGAAGGACCATTTTGTAGTGAAAAACATATATATCTGTATATACAAAATAGGATAGATATACAGCTACTTTCTCTTAGTTCCATGAGAATAAAGTTTTGAACTAATAGTGTTTAGATCGGATATCATGTCTGCATCTTGTACTATGAATAGCTACTATAAAGACAACAATATGCAATGCATTAATTGTTAGAACTGTACAACTAATCTGTTTTGAAACTGTCTCATTGCTATTTCTTTCTCAAAAAAATTAATATAAAATTTAAAAAAACAAACAAAAAGGTCTCTTGCTTTGGGCAATATAAAATAAAGCTTTCCCACGTGTGTGCTGGGAGCTCATGGACAAGAATGACGAAGGGGCCCGAGCTGCACAGATGTGCTTTCAGTTGCTGTGTGGTGTCAGCAGTGCAGGAAGGGCCACCTGAGGTGGAATGAGGTCCTGACTTCTGCTCAGTCTGTATTTTAAGGGAGACTCTGTCATGCAGTGTTCATCCTCAACAGTGGAATCTTCCTCACCTCTGGCTCACCTTACCTCCCATGTACTGGTAACTGAGCACGCATTCTATATGCTGTATAAATGTGGAGAAATTAGGGGCAGTGTATGTAATAAACTAATGTAATTCTAGGAACAAGATATACTTTTCATATTAATACAATTAATATTTATAATTCACAGGAATCCTTATTTTTCTAGATTTGCAATCCTCATAAGACTTTTGTACCAACGTAATGGCAGAATTCCTGTGGGCATGGACCTGAATAGCAGAAAATTACTCAGATATATTTATACAGTGTACAAATACAGTGGTCCAGTCTGTCTTCTTGCTTACTTAGAATCACTGAACTTTATGTTCCTGTGCTGAATGTACAGGTGTGGTTTAGAATTATAATTCTAATGTTCCATATAGTTTAAAGCACTACATGTATCAACTGACCTACTATTCATTCTACACATACAGCATTTTCCCCTTCTCCTTATTTGCTCTGTCCTTGTCTCTGTCTCTCTTTTTCCCCTCTTTCTTCAGTCCTCAACAAACAAATAAATTAAGCTCTGGTTCATCCCTGTTGGATACCAATTGAGGTAAAATGCATTGTCAATCTGGGCTTCTGGCTCTGACTCCTGCCATCTGATTTCCTAGCAAGGCATCATAGATATATTATTTCCTGCTATCTAAAATTTGATGTCTTCATTTCTAATATTAGAGCGTGTATTGATTCTGACACTACTTTTTAGTCCTACTACTTTGACACAGGAATATGGCCACTAAAAGCCCTGGCACATGACAAATGCTGAGATTTAGAAGACCAAGAAGTTACTTTAAGGAGCTTTGCACATTTACCTCTAGCCTTGGAGTTTAGTGCTAGATCTTAGAGTGTGTACAGCAGAATGAAGAGTGTAGGAACCAGGAATGCTTCCAGGATCCTACAGCACACATTAAAAATAATAGGTGGGCACTAGGGTTCACAAACCACTTTCCAAATGCAAGAGAAGTACCTAGCACTAGCCAGGTACTTCTGCTTATAAAACAGATAGTTCATAACTGTACTATAAACATCAGTAACAAAGATGAGCTTGGTGAACATGCAATCAATGTAAAATATATGTATTACTTCTAGATCTTCTAAGGCATATCCACACACATACAAGCACCAATGATAACAAGGATCTTAAAGTAAGCCATGTGGGGTTCCTTACCTGGCTGAGACAAAAGTGGTGTGTAAGGGACTTTCGGTTCTATTGCACTCATTGGCGGAGGTAGCAAAGGATTAGCAAAGCTTCGGAGTGGATGAGTTGGTCGAACGCATGCCGTAGGGATGGTTCTACTTGGTGCCTCTTCACTGCTGGGATGCTCCGGCTGTGCTGGGGGCAGCAGAGGTGCTTGTTGGGTAGATGGTCCTTCACTCACTGCTGTGATGCAGACAAAACATCCAGTCACTATTTCAGACAAACCTCATTATCTCTATGTCTCCTGAACCAGTTCAGAAAGGAATGAGAGGCTCTGGTCACTCTCTTCTTTGAGCTATGAACATTTTCATTCCTTTCCCTTCAAGTGTTTATGAAATATGATTAACACTTCCCCTTTAAACAGTAGAAACAGGTCCATCAAGACAGGGATCTATATTTCAGGGAGAGTAATAAAATACATTGAGCACTCACTATATTGCTTGAATTGTCTGGGCTCTGTAATCATAAGTGATGAGGCGAGAAAAAAGAGTTATTTCTCCTTTCATAAGTAGCATGTCAGTGAAATTCAATGTACCAAACCCAGTTACAGCTGCACTATTATCTGCCAGCCAATATGCCAATTTTTCCGTGATTTAAACATGCCATGTCAACTGTCAAACAACTCAGAGTTACAGGGTGCTCAGAGGCACTGCTAATAAAATGATACAAATAATAACCACTATCATTATCTCCCATAACAAATAGAGAAACATCTAGCTAAAACTTATATGAGAAATGACACTGCTGGAAAAAGTTGGCCTGGATGCAGAATTATGATTTTTTTTTTCTTCTTAGTATCAAACCTTGTAATTTTCAGGCAGATTACTATAGTTGAAGAGATTTCACAGAGTCATTTCTGACAGCCTGTGGTCATTGGGACAGCTTTGTATATATGGAAATGCACCTTGTTTTTTAGAGAAAATAGTTGAGTAAGACTAAAATATGTGCAAGGCAATTTGTCTTGCTAAGGATGATCTGAATATGCTTAAGTATTCATTCATATTCCAAGTCAACAGGTCTAGGTTAAACTACAAATGAGAGGAGATACCTACTCCGTGTAAGTTTTAACTACATATGAATGTTTCTGATGATTTATTTCTTAAGAAGGTTTTGTTAAGGAAAATGAAAAAAGATACTATCTCACTTTCAAAAGAGTTGCTACCCAGAATCTATTTCCAGGTAACGATTTTGGGAGTTAATTGTGAGACATCTCTCTGGGATGCTCAATACAAAAAGCAGAGGAGATAGAAAATCTGACAATGTTGAGGGAGTACAGATGAAAGATACAAAGATAAAACCCCTGTATGAAGGTATGCAGATGTGAAATGTTTCTCAAGGGTATTTTTACTCACTTGTCTGTATGTAGAAGGGGTCAGAGGTCTTTTTGGTCACTCAGGTATCTTCAGGCCTACTTTGCTCAGAAGTAGAAACTGAAAGATAGTAAGTGCTGGCTATGGACAAGAGGGAGCTATACAGTGATCGCAGCCAAAAGATAGGAAAAGACTTCCTGAAAGATTTCTTCAAACAGGGTAAGTAAATGTAATGAAGAGAAGAAACTGGCTAGGAGCCTAAGGCTGCAGAGGAAGAAAGAACACTCGTGTTTGCATTTAAACAGACCTATGCAGTAAGATAGGAAACATCTAGTTTGAGAGACAAAAACAGTTGTACAGGTTTCCTTTGGTCTAATAATATTTAAGCAAAAGGATGTAATGACCTATGGCTAGTTTTCTCCATAGAGTTGATTATCTGGCTAAATCCCCATGTGACATTTTTATGCCCCTGGCCCAAGACTGATGGCTATGTTCTACTTCTACTCTGTGTCTTCCAGTGAAGGGCCACTTAAATGTGGGTCTTTTTGTTGGTATTTCTTTCAAATCCCAGGTCGAAAGGATATGTATGAAGTATTAAAGTTGCAGAAGGGGAAAAACAGGCTCTTCTAGAAGGTTCTGTAGAGATAATCCCAATGAAGGAGAAAATTATTCATCAAAAGGGATTCATGAAAAGGGGCATGGTAATGCACGCCTGGAACCCTAGGATTCTGTGGCTGGAGGATTGCAAGCTTGAGCTCAGCCTGAGGAATTTAGGGATAGCTTCTTGCTCTCTCAAAAAATATGACCTTGGATATAGCTCAGTGGGAAGGCCTGAGTTCAATCCCCCGTGGCACAAAAAAGGGAAGATGGCTATAATCATATCGGGAAGATTCTGAGGAGACTTAAAATGCTTTAACTTCCACTTGAGGGAAGATATCGTTATTCCCGAGGCAGCTTCAGTCTGATCCCTTTTTATCTCTACTGGGCTGATTCTTATTAAAGGATTCACATCATCAAATTAAAAATATCTGTCAGGGGTAAGAAATTTCACAATTTGTTTGGCAATATCTGCCTTGGGTGATTTTATTAAAGGTGGGATGCAATTAATTATCATCATTTTTTAGAAAATGTCTTAAATTAAAGAAATATTTTAATTTTTTATTTCTTTTGAAGTTTGAGGTAAAATATATGTTATAGTACTGTGATCTCTTTAATAAAATTTTAAATGCATTTTTAAAATATCCTTTGAAACCCAGTCTCATATTTTGACAAAACTCATATGTCACATAAATATATGATACTTTTGAAATTATTCTGACCACTCCTAAGCCTGCTTTTCTTTACAGTATTGGACTTCATCAGCATCTCTGAAAACAAAAATTCTCTGCAGACATAGTCTTGAATCTCCAAGTTACCTAAAGCCCTGGGGACATTGAGAGCCCATACTTGTGGCTGAATAGATCACCAATACAAAAGGTGCTGCCTTTGTTTTATTCAACATGATCCGAAGGAACATGAGTTTCCATTCATAATGCTTATATTTCCATTGGAGCAAAATAAATACTTTTCAGAACCAGCTGGCATTTAAGACAGTGAAAACCCTTAAGCAAACAGAATAGCAACTTCTTCACTGGAGAAATGCTCTCATTTCAGATGAATCTGTTCAGCCAATTCAGGCACCAGCTCCAAAACACCTATGTGAAACAAATTGGCTCAGTGTCATGACATTTAGCTGGGCTAAGAGCTCTGAAAGGAAAGAAAAGCTTTGCTTTTCATGAAGTGCAATTCAGAATACAGAGTGGGAATCAAATAGGTGCTGGCAAGGCACTCATTCAAATGATGATATAGTCTGAATTCATTGTACAAATAGCCTGCAATTACACAGCAGAGTCAAATCTTAAGGCACTTTATAATAATTAATGTCAACACACATAAATAATTGCTACAGAATAGCTGGTAAAAAATATTGCAAAAATGGAAATGAGGACTTTTTTTTCTATCCAAAAACTGGAATATTTGATAGAAATGTAGCACACCAAAGGCTCTCAGTGAAGACACTGAGACATGCACACCTTTAGGTTCTCAGTTCACTTATTAATCTCAGAAGGATTGTTTGAAAATGCCCTGAGGCATAATCTGTGAACAGAACAGCCTTCCTGATTATACCACGTCAATTCCGTTTGTTAGTTGACTTACAATTTGTGGAAGAATTAGGTCCAAAATGTAGTATGGAGAGTACTGAATGGATTTCCCATTAACTAAGAAACTATGAGAACTAAAAGGGGTGGTGGAAATCACATAAATTGCTCTACTATCTACTTGTTTAAAGATGAGGGAGTGCGGGCTCACTGCATAACTGCTCTGTTGCTCCAAGCCAACCTACTTTAGAAGGTTTGCAGTACAGCGCTGTTTACAGCTCCTCATTTACTTGCAAAGACTAAGCAAAGAACTATGGTGATTTAGCAGGAAGAGGAATTATTTATTTATCACAACTATATGAATCCCTATTGATGAGCTAGCAAATGCAGGAAATGCCAGTGTGCATACCATAGCTTCCCTTTTCTGATAGTTGGGGAGAGACCTGGGATTGGGACTTTAGAAAGCAGTAAGTCCCTGAGGCAAGGCTTTAGTGCTTTGCCCTGAGAAACTCAGAAGTCTTTCAGAGAACTTTGCAGGAAGTCTCCACACTTGGGAAAGCCAACTTTTCTCTGTGTGCCTTTCTCTGTTTTTCAAAATGACTAATAAGACATCTCCACCCAGAGTCATGAAACGTTTTCCGCTTGGCAGAGAACAGGGATGTTTACGATTCTCCCCAGCATTTAGAAACCAATACTGAATGGCTGCAAAGTAACTGTAACTGACAGTGACCGAGAGAATATTTTGTTTCCTAGAAAAGAAGTGCTAATTGCATTGTTTTTTTTTTCTTTGCTAACCAATCACTTGAAACATATATTAAATACTATTTCTTTTGCATTTTTTGTCCAAAAAACACTTGAATAATTGAGTATACATATATTTTAAAAAATCTACAAAATCTGGCCAGGAATAGAATATCTATTACCTCTTTATTTTTACATGTAGTTCAAAAATTACTAAGTACTTTGTTAATAATGCTGTACTTATAATATACATAGCTAGTATATGTGGATACACATCTGTTGCACACTTAACTTTATCCTTGCTTCTAAAGAGATAATGAAAATTTAAAAAATCCACTAAAGATTAAATATTGAATGAATTCCTAATAGACTTCAGTTTTTAACTTCACAAAAATTTATGTGACAGATAAGGAAGTTTCCTACATATCTACTGTACAGCTTTTCCTCTATCAAAGGCACACACCAAAGCAGTCTGTGAGAGTAAATCTTTTTAACCACAGGAAAAAATCATATTTTATATGTTTTTTAAAATAATATACTTTGTATTCGTCTACTACATTGAGCTTTAAGTTTTGGAATCATTTCCCTCATGATTTAATAGGTTACTATTTTTCATGCTGTGCCAAATGAAGAAAATAAAAGGTTTAGATGGGATTTAGGACTTCAATGAACAAATTTTCAAAAGAGGACAATATCTTCTTTAAAAAAAAAAGAAAAGAACTGTGGAATATAAGACAAATGAAAATAATTACTGATTTTAAAAGTAACAAACTTTACTTGGGTCAGCCATGCTGCAGGGACTAGAAAAGCACAATGCTGCGTGTTCATTTTTTAAAGTCTCAGAATATAGATGAACAAGTAAAAACAACTCTTTAGAAACAAGAAATCATTAAGTTGCTCAGGCTGGCTTTGAAATAGCAATTCTGCTGCTTCAGCCTTCTGAGAAGCTACAGCTACAGTGTGGACAACTTAGTGAAAACTTCTCTTTTTAAAAAGGAAAGGGACTTGTGAGTCATTAATTTTTTTTTTTAACTGGAATCACATGTCTAGTTGTCTTTGGGGGTTGAAAATTTGTGTTAGACTTTTCATAGATTTCTCATACTCCTTTGTATGTATTTTAGGGGGTGATTTTTCCTTGAGTTGTTTTCCACACAACTTTATTCTGTGGAAATGATGTACAGTGAGAGAAGGGAAAATGAATCTAATTCTCCCTTGGCAGATTTTTGATGCCTTTTAATTCTAACCTTGCTACAAGTAGACGATTTATTATTTCTTAGAGATGCTGCTGTTGGGTTGGAAAAAATATAGCTTACCTCACAAATATATTTTATTGCTGTTACCATCATATCTATTACAAAACTTCCTCTCTCACAGGAGCTGCTGAGTCACCTGTTCCTAACTAAGAGATGAAAGTCATAAAATCGATTTAAAAATGCTGTGCTCAAAGGAAAAAAAAAGTCAAATAGCACAGTAGAAATTACTAGGGTGTGTATAATAGCTTTAAAGTCCCCCACTCCCCTTCCTGAGTTCCTTCAGATAAATGTATCACTACTTTGAAAATTCCCTCCACCTCAATGATTAGAAGCCAATATTGTATTGCTTACATGATCGAAGAAAACCAGTGTTCACCAAGTAGTGGCTCACTGGGAATCAGTGAGAAATATTTCTGTGTAATTAACAGAAGCTATATAAAAATGCAATGGAAACTACTCCTTGATTAACTTCCAAATTAATAAGATATATTAATTTAAAACCATCTACTACATAAATGTTTTATAGCACCACTTGCCCTTTGTTGCCTACATACTATATGATGCCAATGAATTTTACCATTGAAAGACTCCTAGGGCATCAATTTAAATCATGTAGTAGGATCCAAAGGACAATTATGTTGCCAAATAAAATTCTCATACTAAAGTCATAGGTAAGTCAATCTTGGCAAATAACAGAACAAAAGGCTACATATTTGACAAAACATTTTGCTATTCACTTTTTTTCTTAATAAAAAAAAAAACAATTGGAACATGCATTACACTGACTTCTTCCTGATCCGAAACTTCGGTCCACTGACAACGTTGGGAATGGTACTGGCCGGAGAGTGAACTGCGGGTGGGGGTATCCACACGTGGGAGACGGGAGGATTCCAGGGTACTGAGCACTTTCTAGGGTTGGCACTGGGATGGCACTCACAACAGCTGCAAAACAAAGGTGTCAGTATGTTATTTTTTAAATTCAGTGTGTCTACCTAATAAGCATAAATGGCAAAATTTTTAGAATCTCAAGTCCATGTGCATGTTTCATAGCATCATCTAGCTTTATGGAAACTCTCCTACTTACCTTGCTCCAAAACCCACTTTTTACTTTAGAAAAGAGAGCTCATTCCTTAAGCATATTAAGAAGCCTTACTTGGTAGCTTAAAAGTTTTCATGGTTCTAAAAAACTAAATATCCAAACCACCACAGAATCACCCTAATGTTTCTGTTTCTTTCTTCTTATACTTAATCATATGCTTTCTTTTTAGGATGAAACATGAACTTGTAAATTGCTTGTTAACAAATCTAATATCCTGTGCCAAGTGGGCTGGAGAAGTATTGAGATTTTTCCATTAATTCTGTAAATGAATGCGGTTATTGAGAATATACTAAATACTAAATATACACAACAATATAGAGTTACTGAGAAACAATCTAGAATGACAAAAGGAAGGTATATTCTGTATTCTTGCTTTGCATTTATCTTTAAATAGAAAATCCTTCCAACAGCTAAAGTCGTTGAGGTAGTGGCACAATATTTTAAATTTAACTGAAGGTTCTTAACTTTCTTTTCCTTTCAGGAACATCAGATGTTTTAGTTAAGCTAGTTGAAATCCACAGGCAAAATATTGTACAATACTGTGTTTGTAGACTTAGTGTTGTTCAATTTCATTATTCAATAACTATTCAATAATATATTTTGAAATGTATATTTGCATTGCTGTCCATCCGTATTTTAAATCATCTTATAAAATGTTTAATATTTCCTATCACTTAGTACCAAAATATGAAATTTAAACTAGCTTTGGAAATGATCAGTTTTGGTGGTATGATTCAGTCTATGAAATAGTTATTTTCTTTACATGAGTAATTTTTATATAATTATATATTAATGCAAAGCACTTGTGTTCATCCATGCTGCACATATATGCATATCTTCGAAGACAATTTTTTAAAATTCATTCATTTTATTTTATTTTATTTTTATTTTTAACTCATTATTAACTTCATTGAAAATCAATAATTACAATTACATGGTAAATTAAAAATTGTTGACAAATATTGAAATGTGAAACATATAAGATGTAGACAGGATGAATTTTAGGAAAATGCTTCTGAAATGAATACCTAACATGAGATTAATAATAGATTGCACATTGTAAAAAAAAAAAAACTATTTACAAACTTAAATGAATATAGTGAAAATTGTCTAAAATAAACATGAGGAAGAAAGAGTTTACAGATCAGTCACATAATGGTGCACTCTGTGCCAAAATCAAGAAACTTATATTCATATAGTTAGAATTCTCAAAGTAGAATGGGGTAGGCAATAGACATTTAAAGATTTAAAGTTTCTGAATTTAGTTGACATTATCGCACCATTTTTCCAAGAAAATCGAAACTTTTGCACAAGAAATATGAATAGAATCATACCAAGATACACAAAAATGAAATTGTCCAAATCTTATTGTAAAGAAAAAAATCATTAAAGCATATACATAAAAATATTAGCTATGGAAGAACAAAATTAAAAAATGGGCTAATTCCAAATTAAAAAAAAAAAATGGGCTGGGAAGATAGCTCAGTAGAGTAAGCGCTTGCCTGGCAAGCATAAGGTCCTGAGTTCAATCCCTGGTACTGAAAAAAAAGAAAGAAAGAAAGAAAGAAAGAAAGAAAGAAAGAAAGAAAGAAAGAAAGAAAGAAAAAGCGAATGGGTAAGAAACTAGACTTAGGGCCGGCCAAATAGCTCAGCGGATTAAAGCATCTGCAAACAGACACAGGAGGCCCAGAGTTCGATCCCTAGGCCTGCCCTGCCAGCTCCAGGTACCCCCAGGGCTGGCTGAGACTGCAATTCAGATGGCATGGTAGCACACATGACTTTAATCCCAGCACATGGGAGACTGTAAACAGGTAGCACTTTGAGTCTGATCTAGTAGTGAGACCCTGAATACCCTGTATACCCTTCTCTAAAAAATACAAAAAAAAAAAAAAAAAAAGAAACTAGACTTATTTATTCAAAGACTGAAAAAAAATCTGTTCTCATTGAATTTTATACTTAGCAAAAATACCTTTGAAAAGCAAAAGATATTTTCCAGTTATACAAACTCAAAATATTCTAATACCTCCAGACGTAGCATATAGAAAAATAACAAAGACCATAATCCAGAAGGCAAGAAAAGTTGTTATATGGTCCTGGATAAAGAATAATGAGCTCTTTATAAACAACTATCACTTCAGACACAAATCATATTGGACTACTATACTTTTAAGTAGAAAATTTTGCAGATCTATTTTACATTGTTTTTTAAGTCTAGGTACTGCTTTATATTGGTTGCTGCACTATCCAGAAAATACAAAACTAAAGACTTGAAGTAGATTTCTAAATCTTTCACCAGCAGCATAATTAGAGGAAGATCTTATCTAATTGTAAGTGACAAAATTATTGAAAATGACTTTGAGCAAGGGTTCATAGTGAGTGTGCAGTATACAAATCAGAGTGATTGCAATAAAATACCCATTTTTAAAATATCTATACATGGGCCGGCCAAACAGCTCAGCTGATTAAAGAGCCTGCCAGCAGGCACAGGGTAGGGGGTTCGATCCCTGGGTCTGCTTTGCCAGCCTCACCCCCGGGGTGCACTGACAGACGATTGAGACTGGGCATGGTGGCGTGCACCTATAATCCCAGCTCTTGGGAGGCTGTAAACAGGCAGATCACTCTGAGTCAGATCTAGTAGTGAGACTCTGAACACCTTGTGGACCCTTCCCTAAAATAAAAAAAAAAAAAAAAAAAAACAACAACAACAAAACCCCAAAAAACAAAAAACCAAACCAAAAAAAAGCTATACATATGCAAACATTGGAATAGAATGTAGTTATACATGGATATGTAAAGTCAAGCACAAAAAGCCCCACTTATGTCACCAGGTAACAAAATTCCGATAAAACCTTACTTTATAAATAGCTGTACAGAAACATTAATTGTCATGTTAACTCAATCAAGATATGAAAAAATCAGTCAAAGACTTATGGTTGCAGATAGTGATACAAAATTTCAGTTTATAAACATTTTATGCTGCAAAGAAGATATATGATCAAGAGAGCCTGCATCAAAACCACAGACAATGTTCGTGTATTATTCAGTCGGAAAAGTGAATTACAGACAGAAATTCAAGGAGAAAAATGAGTGATGCCAACTTCTTTCTTATAGAGCAGCTTCCCCATGTAGTTTTTAATGGGATGATAGAGAATATTAAACCACTATCTTATACTTCGGATTTATTTAAAAGAGTGATAAACCAGAAAAATTACAACTTTCATGTACACACATTTATAAGAAAATATTTTAAATGTTAAATTTGAAACATATGAAGGAACATATAATTTTTCTAAATTAGTCTAGAAAAAGACAAATGAAAATAAATGATAAAGAGTAAAGTATGGACATGAACTTTTGAACAGTTGTAGAAAAAGAAAAAAGTTTAAAGAGAACAAGGACATTTTTAAAAGAATCAGATTGAAGCTAAAGAGCAGACAAGGTAAAATTACTATAAATTCCTTAAAGAAAGAGCTTACAATTTTTCTATCTCTGCACCTTTCATACTACAGAGCTAGAGATATTTAAATAAGTTACTGATAGTTTTCTTGGAGAAAAATCTACAAATATGATAGTTTAACCAACTGGACACTTGTTATGTCATTTGATGATATAGTATCTTATGGTGTATAGTTACTGTAACTATAATAATGACAAAAATAATAACATACCTGATCATCTTGATAAACAAGCATCATGTTAGCCTAAAATCCAGTTTTTTGCAATACAAATTATAGTCTCTAAGGCAGTCTATTTATTTTATCTTTTTTACAGACCAAACAAACAAGAGCACTGGACAGCCATTAAGGTTGATCACTAGGTTTTAAAACCCTGTAAAATCACTAGGTTTTATCCCCGTAATAATTGTTATTCAGAAATAAATGTGACTGAAATAACTTCTCTCTGATATAAGTGGTACCCACTCCACACTGTGGCTCTTTCTTTATCAACATAATATAAACAAGTTTATTATGAACCAATGTTTTACACTATAATTCAGAAAACAGCATCTTTTCACAACTATCATTTGATATAGAGCCAAAGAAATTTGAATGGAGACACATGGAAGAATTTGGCCAGCCACAAAATCTGTTAGAGAGAACCCAAAAGATTAGATTTATATTCTGGTTACAAGCCCTTCATTACTGAAGAAATAATTTTACCTTCTAGTATTTTCTTATCATGGCTTCAAGTGTGGGTAAACTTTTTTTTAATCTTTTCTATTTATAGATCTCAAAAATGCTATCATTTTGACATGAAATAGAATAGTCAGCATTCCAAAACTTCAGTTTTGGAAGCATTTTAATTTATGCTTCATTTCTGAAGGGGTGTAGAGGTTGAGGTTTACTTTGAAAGTAGTTGTTGCAAAAATAATCATCCTAAAGTAAGTTGGATAAAGCATTATGCATTGAAGTATCTTTTGGCATTTCTCCCTTATATTTATTTGTTCTATAACACACACATACACACACACATACCAAATTAAATCATTCATGACACTACTGTGCTTATGTAAAACAACTACAAGTCCAATATCTCCAAGCATTTTCAATAAATCTCAACTCTCTGGCCAAATATGATAAGAAATCTCTTCTGACATAGCTTACTGACAATTGAATTTATATCTGACACTGATGCACAAAAACTTTTCAAGTAGAAATTCCCTTACCAAATTACTTAGCTCCCTGAACAGGGCACTGTGGTATTTGAAAACTTTTACAATCATCTTTAAAATGTTAGCACTAAACGCTACCTACAGGAAATCTAAAGTGAAGATATTTTTTATTGCTACAAATTTTAAGAACTAATACCTCCCCAGATATTTCTCAACATGACACTTGACAGA